CTTTCTCCTTCATTTGGATTGTTTAACACAATTAGCCCCATTTATATACTGGAAAAGTGTGTACATCTGTGTTCTGACCTGCAAATGTTTCAATGTCTTTTAAATTTGTAATATCTGTAACAACTCTATGCAAATCCAAGCCACCCCATGTGATCTTTATTCCCGAATTTCAAAGAGTAAAGATTGAACGGATTCTGTGCCAACATTATATCCAACAAGCAGTTGCAGGAGGGCTCTGAGAATGTGGGAAGGAAAACTTGGGGTGACACATAGTCCTGTTCCCCAAATGTTCAGTGCACACACTTTCCCCAGAGCCTTTTATACTGCTGACACATACTTTTGTACATACAACACTGTTTTGCCTTATAAGCTGCTGGCATATTCACTGAGTGATCATAACCTGCCTTAAAACCTTCTCACTAGCAGAAGCAACCTTGAGGGGAACCAAGTTTACATTTGCTGGAAGTGTGTATATGAGATCTGCAGCCCTAATATTAATTACAACTAGTAGCACAGTTCTATAGAAAGATAAAATGGTGCATAATCTCATAAAATGTTAAATCTTGAGTGTCAAATAATTACAATGTTTAGGTAGGTATAGAAAACTTTAAACAAAGAACATTACCACTGACTTTCATTTTGGCTTCGGTTGAGGGTCACTGTCATGTGTAAACTGTAACATCATTTTCCTAAATAACACTGAATTAAATATTTGATGGTAATGAGAAAAGAATCCAGATGAGACAGGCCAGGATCCTAAGACCTACTTTAGGAATGGGATTTTTAAATTTTGTTCCTCTAAAGAGCAAAGTGCTATACTGCAATGATTTTGAAGGTCCCTTTTCCCCCATGAAATTATGCTGTCCAACATGCGTAACTTGTGCTCAGTGAATATAATCCAAAAGCTCCATCCAGCACATGAAATTACTTGTCCAGTTCTTTGGGTCCTGCTAACAGTGTTTGCTCTTTGAGTGTTTGCTGTTTTCCTTCAGTATATAATAGAGTAACTTCTTCATATCAAAAGCAGCACTATCTGGAAGGTGGGTTGACACATTTATATCACAGCAGATGATATAAATGATAGAAATTAATAGCTCTATTGTATAGTAATAGAATTCCAGTATGATTTTATAATTTGTACAAATCATTAGCTGTTTGCTGTGTCATGTTACACTAATATACATATTCATTGTAGGGTTATTACCTTCTTCTCTTCAATCCAAAATGCAAGAATTAACTCTATGCCATGCTTGTTGGAACTGCAATATTTTATGAAGAAGGCAGAATGATCTTTAAAAGATCACAGCATATTTTAACACCTATATTAACAGAATCCATCCTGCCTGCCCTCAGTCTTTGAAAACTGGTTCAATCTTTCTCCCTGATCATTTTGAAGTAGCATAATAAATTTCTGGTATTATAGTCTGACTACATTAGTCAAAAATGAAATGCAGATATAGTGGCCACCATGCTGGGTAAATGATTACTCCCTGCCCCTCCAAACTTTTCCTTGAAGTCTTTATGGCGCTAATGGAGGAGTTCCTAAAATCTTAATGATCCATTGAAAACCAGTGCATCTCTGTACCAATCAAACCTAATAGTAAGAGGCAGGCAGAGGTGAAGCTGCCTACATTGCTTCCACTAAAAGCAATTTACATGTCAGATCTGCTCAAATTCCCCTGAAAATAAAACAAGGGGAAACATTTTAATATATATATAAAAAAGGAGAATTTAACATTAAAAATAACAGAAAAATTATGCAGCATATGAATACTGCATCCAAATAATTTCAGTTTAGCCAGTTTTCCATGAAGCTGCAATCCTTATGTGTAATCTCACCACAATATAGGACCACTATGAAGACCGTGTTTATGCAAATTATATACAGTTAGAATGGACAAATGACCTGTGCAAAGTTAGTTTTCTTTGAACCAAAGTCATTTTTTCTCAGTCATCTAATCACTCAACATCTGACCTAAGTCTAACTAATGAAAATATACAAGCACAACACCCAAAGCTGCATTACACAGACATACAAGCCCTCACATTTTATAAGATGTTACAGTGATTCAGCTGCAGGATCACCACTACCCATGGTGAGCTATAGCATGTGCCAGGCAGCTTTTGAATATTTAAGCCGCAGCTGCACCTTGTCATGTCATCCAAACTTGGGTGGCAGGGCTTACACAAGGCTGTGTAACCTTTGTACAACCCCCACCACTCTGGTTCAGACAAGATGTAAGCCATGACTTGAATATTCAAATGGCCACTAACACACACCACAGCCCACTGTGACTTCAATAAACTACAGTGGTTTATTTGATCATACAAACTGGTTTAGCATGGAATTAAATGAAATCTGACCACTTACTATAAAATAGTGGGTTTTAAAAACAAAAATCAAAAAGGCTAAAATCAAGTAAAGGTCATAACATTTATCAAGAATACAAAAACCATTGCTTTTTGTTTGGAGGGCTTCTTTAAATACAGCTTTTAAAAATGCTAATTCAAACAGCCATCAATCCGAATACATATGGTGTAGCCTTCTACTGTAGTTACCTGTGAACACTGAGCACACAAACACTTTCAATAAACCACAGTTGTTTGACATACGGACAAAAGCCTTAGTTTATGTCAATGGCAAGAAATCCACTGACATCAATTCATTCTTTTTACCCCCAGATATTTACAGAAGCCATTAACTATTCAGCAAGCAAGGATGGGGTTAGGGTTAGGGTTCAGGAATCCTAAGAGGATATGTAGTGAATAGAAAGTTGAAGCAGGACCCTCATTCTCGGAGTTGTTCCTGCCAAATGCCAAAAGGCCATCCACTTACACATTAGGAGGGAACTTCAAGGAGGGCAAGATTTGTGTTCACAAGAGAGAAAATAAAAAACATGCATGTGTGTGTCTATATATATATTCATATATACACACTGACTGAGTCTGCACAACATGATGACCCAGCATGAGTGAGCAGCTAGCCATGGTGGGTTGTCATGTTGTCTGAACCCAGAGCATTTCCCACTGGAAATGCTTTTTTTTCAGGGACAAGCCACACACAGAACCTATGGCTTCTTGTAGGACTGTTCTTGCTCAAGATGGGTCGTTGTATTGTCTGGACCTGGAAGACCATTTTTATCATGTTTTTGCCATCATTGGCTACAGAGCTGCTTAGCAAGGGCAGCCAGAAAACCAGTGCCACTCACTTTTCACCATGCCACCAGTGACTGCCCTTCCACCAATGCTGAAATGGCACTTTGGAAGGACCGTCGCTTGTTACTTGGCTTTGTGTAATTCAGTGCCACAAAAATGCACAACTGACATTTTTATTATTATTTCAGTCTTTTGCAAGTGCACATCTGATAACAGTACCAACAAGATAAAGTTCCCTATCAGCTAATATGTGCCCAGTTGAGAGGGATTGGGAAAGTAACAGTAAGAGAAAGGGAGGAGCTGATAGCACAAATCAGAAACACCAGAAATGGGGAGGAGAGGCAGGAAGCCAAAGTAGCAACTGCACCAACAGTGCAGGGACAATATCTCCCCCAGGGCAATGTGGTCTTCTCACTTTAAGTGTTGAACTGACACTTTCTAGTGCCCACCACCCTGTTTGATGCTTCTTTGATACTCCAGCTATGTCAGAAAGTCCCCACACACAATTTTCATGAGCACTTACTATTGCAATTAGTACAGTTCCTTGAGAATTTTAAAAGCACATGCACACAGAACTGTATGCCTATTTAATGGCTGGGAAAGTAAATGGAGTGGAAATTTGTGCACTTGCATTAACTGCTCCATTATTGCAGGTGCACAAATTGCCCCTACATAAAATTCCCAGCCTTTAAATTGCCACAAATTTTCCCTCTTACTGACTTTCCAGACATTGTATTTGCTTGTATTTCTGCATTTTTAGAACTGTCAGAGAATCTCAGTAACCTCAACAGGTAAGTGCTCCAAGAATGCCATGGAAATGTGTGGGGAGCAGTTCATATCTCGTATTTCAAAAGTAGCTGGAGAGTTGGGGAGTGTTGAAAATGTGGACGGCACCAAAAACTTAAATGCAAGGGGGTTATATTGCTCAATTTATATTTCTAAGAGGGAGATGTTATTCCCCCACCTTTTGGTGCACTCTCTTTTGCCCTTTCCTTTATCAGTGCTTTTCAATTGGCAACTTGGCAACTGGTTCCCCGAGATTGTGAGCAATTAGCCAAATACAATCTTATCTTGTAAATCAGTTACCTATTCTACTTTGCTGTGCCCTTGGACAGCTGAAACAGGCAAAGACATTGACTAAGCAAGATTATAGATATCTGACAGTCATTAAGAGCGTACTCATGCATTTGCAAAAGTCCAACAACAAAATATTTTTTTAAAAAAATTAAATGTATTTCAGGGACTGAAAGAATATCAAATCAAAATAACAACACAACCCCACTTGTGCTTTTTTGAGGCTGTGGCAGCAGGGCAAGAGTGGTAGGGGTAGTGATGAGGAGGAGACAAGACAGATTCTGCTGCAAAGGACACTGGGATATCAGCTAGAGAACTCAAGAGGAAGTAGAGGGAGAGCAACCCATAGTAAGCCCAATCATCTGTCTGGCATATTGTGGAACTGTTGAGCAAACTACAAACTCAGCATGGCTTATCATAAGATGGCTTAGCAACACAAACAAACATGTCCAAGTGTTTGGATTATACTAATGGAATTCTTCAAATGAATTGTTGAACATTATATAATAGAATGCATGGAGTTTTTTAGAAGTACTAGATGGTTATAACCTAAAAACTGCATACAAAATGATGAATTCCCACTGAACTCAAAGGGCTTATGCGATTGATTTGCAGGACTATTTCCTAAAAGCTGAGGTGCTGGTGGCTCAATTCTTCTTCAAAGTTGGACCAACACAATGATGTCTCTACTCCACTTGCTGACACATCTGAACTGCTGTGTACCAAAAAGGTCAATAAAATTGGGAAAAATAAAAACCAAAGACTGTTAATTCACAGAAAAATGCTTAGCATCTACAGGAAGATAGACACATTTTCAGTGGACTAACCACTACTGTGCTATTTTTCATAAACGAATCCTGTGGTTTCATACTTTACTTCATGCACTGGGATCAGCTATGTCCATGTTTGTTCCAAACAGAGCAACTAGCTGTTCTTCATAGTTTGCAATGTTCCTTTTCATAATTTCCATACAAGGTCCCAAAAGCCTTTCAAATGCCTGTACATCCATAACTAAAATATAAAAGGAGAAAGAGACAGAATATAATGATGTCTTTTAAACTGTGGGTAGGAAAAGTCCACTGTTTACTTTGTCAAGTTCTAGATAATAATAGTAAAATTATTAAGGCAACCCATATTTGATCAGCCCAAGTGAAAAGAGCATGCGAAATCTGACACAGCCATGTGTGTATTTCCATGCACCTGCTGGGACCTGCCCTCTTTCCTACTGCAGTATCTACACTTCCCAAAAAGCTCTCCTTGAATCTAGTCTGAGCATCTTCTGAAGCAGTGCATCAGAAATGAAAGCCAAGAAATTTCTGATCATGTTCAAAAGCATTTTAAATGTAGAACTAGCTATTTTTCCAGAGCTTTCAAGATCAGTAGTAACAAAGAATTCAATTAAAACATAGGTGTTATTTACACTCCTTTCTCTGTGTCAGTCTGTAAAGTTTTTTTCTTAAATAAAAGGGAGAGAGTTTAATTTCCAGTGATATATTTTTTACATTTCTATCACTTTAACCCTGAATACTTTTCATCTTCTTATCATGGTAAGTTTTATTCAACATAAATTATATGGTGAGATAAAAAGCGGTGCTCTAAAGTTCAAATCATTTTAATTACAGATCCATTGTTTGGGGAATATACCGTCCTTTAAAGCTTGCAAAGAAACTGAGGGGATCTCATATACTCCATTACACTTAGCTATGGAAGTTTCTTCCAATCTAGGTCTTGCACTGTGATGCACAAAGACCATGATGAAGAAAAATAAATAGCTTTATACTTTCTGGGGACTGTTTTATGTCAAACATCAGCACATTACCATGTTTGACCAATTACTGAGAAAAGCTGAAATACTGCTGGGTTCATCATATTGTCAGCAGAGTAGAACATCTGATAGCATAACAGCAGGCACAAGGAACAGAAATGAATGCTATGGATGAAATGAAATTTGGCTTTACAGTTTAAGGGAGCATATTGTACAGAAAGCATATGCTTGCCAACAGAAATCATGCTGTTCCTTGTTTTGTGAAACAAAGCAAATGGCAGAAAAAATAACTTTGTATTACCTAAGCACTTTACAGTGCCGAGTGCGAATGCTGAGGCAGCTCGAGGTTTATTAGTTACAAGAGCAAGTTCTCCAAAATACTGCCCTCTAGTGTACCTGGCAATTTCAACTGCTTCATTTTCATCTATATCCTGTTTAACCTAAAAGGCATGGAAGAAAAACAAAGCACCCAGGCATTTACCAAACAAAGTGTAATAAGCACACTAACATTCAATATATTTTGGTAAACAAAGTCAAGTTGCATACATGCTCTTTACTGAAAACGATAAGTAAAATAAAAACTCAGTTGTACTTTAATACATTTTGTACCTTTCTTTTCATTGTAATTTTCACTTCTCCAGATTCAACAATGTAGAAAGAGTCAGCCATGTCTCCCTGTTTTTTTTTTTCAGTAACAGAAACATAAATGGAATTATTTAGTAGTTTTATTACTAACAGCAACAAAAAACACTTCCAACAGTTTAATTCAAAACAATGATCAGACAGTCAGTTTGAAATGATCCTTTCCTTTCATCATAAATAACTGAGCAGCTTCCACATCCTGCTAATCAAAACAAGAACCATTAACAGACTGCTGGGTCTGTTCCCATGCAAAGTTTTGGAGACATAATATGTAATTCAGTTGTTATTTCCTTCAATCTTCAAAGATCAATGTGGGAAAAAGTAGGAAGTGGAAGCAGCCAGTGTCTGAAAGGACAAGCCAATGCAGCAGCATGACAGGGCTTCAGCTGTCTGAAACTCATCCAGAAAGGACCTCTCTTCACATGGTTTTCTCTGAGAACTGGTGGAAATAAACCATGTACTAATATTCAGGTTCTCTCAGGTGCTGCACAAAATTAAACAGGCACAGAATCAAAAGCAGCGATACTTTTATTATGCATTTGTTTGCTGGCTATTCTCAAGGACTCTGCCAAGAAAAAGATAGTTTACTTTGTCCTTCCTGTTCTGAACAAAGATAGGCTACTTTGCCAAGGGATGACATAGAGCATCGGCTTCAAGCTAGAGACAATAGGCTGGTTTGAGCATAATGCTACACCACGGTCTGTCTGAGCTACAGTTTGATATGCTGGTTTGTTAAATAACAAACCAGAGTTTAGGTGTCATGGAGAACAATGGTATGCTCTGTTAAAAAAAATGTTTGGAAGGTTTTGCTATCTCCTTCCTGCACAAGAGCAAAGAGGAGAACAGAGAAGGGAATGTGCAAGCCTAAACCTTGTGCAAGTTTTAGTGTTATGTCTGAACTGGGCCAGTAATTCTTTTGTTGGATAGAGATGTAATAAAACGTAAGACTGACCCACTCTCCTTAATGGCCATTTGTAAACTTACCAGAGAAAAAGGGAGCCTGATAAAAACCCAGCTGTGAAGAGACCACTTATATAAACCAATGGATGAGGCTCTGTTTGTTCTCAGTGGCTGCTAAAGGCCAGATTGGTTTGGTATTACTAAAGCCTATAAAGAAGCTGTTTTGTAAAGAAGCCTGCTATCATTCATGTTTTTAAAAACAAACAGAAAAAAACCAAAACTGCAGGTTGTCCATCATATGGTTTCATACATTGTGGTAAATAGAGATACCCTCCCATCACTCACTTGCTGACCCAATACACAAAATCACCCCAGGATACAGTGAGTTGTAGACTATGTTTGGAGACTTGACTTACTCTATTTACTGATCCTATTGTTTTTCCTTCAAGAAACACAAGGTGGCTTACATAATACTCCTTCACCTCTCAGTCTTTTCATCACAACATTCCTGGCTCAAAGTCACCCAGTGAGCTATGTGGCCGAGTGGAGACTAGAACCCAGATCCCAGTCTATCACTTTAACCACTACACTACACTGGCTCTTATACTTTGACCCTGCAAAAATAAGATATTGCCATGTTTAACAAATCACCTACTGGGTTGTGATTAGTTTGCTAACCACACTAACAATCCCAGCTTACCAAGTTCACACAACATGAGAAGCTGCAGTGATGGCTTGGAATATGCAGAATGATTGCCCATCTGCACTGCTAAGTCTTGTTAACTTTAATTCTTAGTGTTTACATAATTTTTATAACACCTAGAATTTTAATTTTCAGCAGACAGTTGCCTTTTAGTTGCACACCCAGTTTTTGTCCTTGCATAGTAGTCTCAGGTGTCGCTCTACCAAATTGTCCCAAGGCAATTTTATGTACAAACCACTTCCACATAAACTCAAAATAACTTACAATGACTGAATAAACTAGACACAAATGACATACCTGAGCAATGATTTGTTCTCCATCTTTGTATATTTTGGTGCCTATGACATCCACCACTTTCAGTCTTTCAGAAAGCTTTAACAAAAGGAAGGCAGGTCATGCTAATTTCCATGCAAAATCTCCAACATATCACAGACAGCAACAAGTATACTTGTTCTTATAACCACCATTTTGCCCATTGCTTTTGGTCTTACTATTACATTGCTGACAGCTTTTCTCTAACTACAACTGGTATTCTTTAATTCCATTCACTTGGGGGCCGGGAATGGTATGTATTTTCCATCATAGCCTGCCCTTTTCCTTAGAGATGTAACTTCAAATGGTTCAAGGTTGGGAATTGGAAGTGAAGAATCATAACTCTGCAGAAATTCCTTTCAGGATGCTTGGCATGATGATTTACAGTGGACAGGTCCCTGAAAATACTGTGTTTCATAAGAACTACTGAAGTACAGGAACATGAAGGCTAGTAAAACTACCAAGGTACTCAAAGCATTACTTGCTATTTTATTTCAGATTTTGAATATAATGTATTGAAATAAATTTGGGTGCAAAAATGATACATTGCTTTTTCAGTTAAAGAAAAACAACTTTAAAATATTAAAATAATACCAAGAAACCATGTAATTTTATCGTATTAGGCAAATACAAAAAGTGTAAAAAAATATAAGTAGACTTACCTCTAAAGATTTTAAAAAGGGCAAAGATTCAATAAAATTTTCATACATTCTTCTCTTTTTGGCATTATTTTTTACAATGATTCTTCGAAATGTTAGTCTGTCCTGTAAAAAGAAAACAAGATTGTAATTTAAAGTGTATAAAATGCACAATAATTTATACAATGATTTGCCACATAAAAACTTGTAGTTTTCTTACTATAAAAAAGAATGTGGGCTGGAATACCATAGATCATATGGGAACATTCAACTTATCCTTAACTAGGCACATTGGTCACTGTTATACAACAGCTTACTGATTAAGGTTACAATATTCACAGACCAGGCCTATAAATGCTTATTAAAATAATGTCTTAAAATGTCCAGTGGGGCTTATTTCCAGATGAATGTACTTGAATGCAATCAATTGGTTAAACAATTTCAAGTTTTTCATTGACTAAAAAGGTGTCTCCCAACTGTGACAGCAAGTTAAAAATGTTCTAATACAAATCCATGTTAAACTAGATAGCCCGAAAGAGGCATTCTCCCTTCTTTCACGTACAGGTTATGCCTTATCTAAAAAGCAAATAATATAGACACATTGCTTTTACTTGCATCCAGAGCAGGACATTTTAAAAGTTGAAACTTAACTGAGGGGTTGTTCAGTCAATTCTTAGAATGAATAAATGAGCATTTCTTTAGCAAGGTTGCATCCCAGCTATGGATACAATCAGTATAGTCTTCATGGCCACAGCCAATGGATGCAATTTTCCTCCTACTGAGGGAAATAGTAACAACCGCATGGATTTTGAACAGAAAGTGGAGTACACAGGTTATTTGCAGTCCATGCAGTCATCATGATGCAAGTCTCATATATTCTTTCAAAAACATTTTACAGACAGTCCCCGAGTTATGAACGTCTGAGTTACAAACAACCCATACTTATGAATGAACTGCCATTTACTGCAGAAAATAGTCATCACAATAGAAAGAGAAGAAATGCAAGGGGAAGGAGGGAGGCCTCCAAAGCATACCTTCCTGCCCTGTCCATCCAGAGAGGGAAATCTTTCCAGCATTTCCTTGCTGCAAAGAGGAGGCGGAGGGGGACTAGAGATATTTGTGGTTTTTCCAGTGTCACAGAGGTTGTGTGTCCTTAACTCCCACAAATGTGGAGGGCCAACTGTGCCTGATCCAACTTCCACACACATTCAACTTAAAAGACAAAGTTCTGTTTACTCATGAACAGAATTTGTTCATAACCTGGGGACTGCCTGTATTTGTCTTGAGGTAATAGGATAAGTTATAAAGAAACTTACCAAACCCCACACAGCACCAGGAGAGGTAGCAATAATTGTAGCTGCTCTAGGTGTATTGTACATTAAAGCCAATTCACCAAAGCATCCACGGTTGTCATAGGCCCCAACACACCTTCCAACACCATCACATTTCACATATATATCGTAAGTCCCTCTGTAAAATATGCAGTGTGAATGATCAGTCATTTCTGCATGAGTTCTGCATGATTTCTGCATGATCTGAATTTAAGATACATAATAGCTAGAAGATTAAAATGGAATTATTCTTGTATCACTTCCATCAAAAATACATGTGATACAACCAGAAATAAGAAAAACAACCTCCAAACTTAACATTTTATCAACAGTGCAATATTTGTTATAGCCATACTCAAACATTTTTGTTAAGAAGTGATTTACAATTTCCACTGTACAATGTAGAACTGCAGCAACAATTAAGATATGTGTAAGATCCACAGGGTCCTCAAAACTGGGACAAATTTGAATCTGTTTTCCTTCATTTAAAGTTGGTTTGTACAATCGAGATAAAATGTTACTGAAATCACCGAGCATTAAGCCATACACAGTTCACTAGGTTGTGCCCACTATATTTTATCATAGGGAAAACCTATAACTTTTCATTTGATTTCTGCCATACCCAGGATTTATAATGCAAAAACTGTAGACTCCCTCCAATGTAATAGTGCAATCTCAGCCCCTCCACATCACTACACAGATAACTTACCGATCAATTACATAAAAGTTGTCCCCATCATCACCTTGATCAATGACATGCTCCCCTCCTTCAACCAGTTTTTCAAACATGGCATCTAATACTTGAGACATCTGTTCCTGTTAATCAGGAATACAAAAGCAGAGGAAATAATATGAAATGTTATCCTGAAATGCAAGCTCCTCACGCTTGATTCGCATGACCTTTGCTTGGCCTGTTTTGCAATCAGACTGACTTTTGTGGCTTTCCCAGTGCCATCCAGTACACAAGGACTGTTGCATCCATCTACGCCCACAAGCCTAGGTTGAATTTTTGTATTTGTTTTTATATGGGGCTCGGGTCTGGTACAGACACAACCCAAATGAAGAGATGGGCTCCCTTACCTACCCACTGCAGTGTAAATTTCCCTTCCCTTCCTCTCTGTTAACTCTGACATATACAGCATCACTGTAGTGGACCTCAGTCTTTGGCTTACATTATACGACAGCATACCCGGAGAACCTCTTCCACAAACTTTGTTTTTTTAAGATTGCATTTTTGTCCATTTCAGAGTCAAAAATATAGCCTGGGCAGAGATCACTTAGTTTTAGTATTTCTGGGGCCCCTCTTCCACACCGCACTCAAGTTATATTAACCTAATGATTGCAATAATATATTACTGAAAATCTAATAGTCGTGGCCAATTTCACCAGTTTTAAACCTCCCTCCCCCCCCCCCCCCCCGGGTGTTCTTTTATTTCAATTGCATCAGTTTGCCACAACATGGAACTATTATTTAGCCAAAATGGCATACAGAAAATATTATATATGCTACATCTGTGGGCAAAACACCTTTGTGGACTATTGTTACTATCTCAATATTTTCCTGTCTTGTAGCTCAATACAAATATTCCTAAATACAGTAAAAATGAAGTAACTTGTTCATTTCATTGTGAAGTCCCAGGATCAACATAAATATTTGAAGTAAGCATACTTTAACTCTTTCTTTCAGTTGTATTAAAAACCATCAATATATCCCAAGAGGGTTTATACAGTCAAAAGTATATCCCCATCTAGATTTAAACAAGTAACATAAATTCATTCTTTGAAAAAATAGAAGACAACAGAATTGAAAAACTTCCCAGTGTAACTAGACTACTGTGGCTTGTGTTTCTCATCCATGACAAGCTTCAGATCCATAAGACCACCAGTGGTTCCTGGTGATCTTTCACATGGACTGTGGAAGAGCGACACCCATGAGGAGATCCCTAAAAGAGATGCTCCCTAAGTCCCAGCAAAAACAGAAATATGAGAGAGAGAGAGAGAGAGAGAGAGAGAGTGAGAGAGAGAGAGAGAGAGAGAGAGAGAGAGAGAGAGAGAGAGAGAGAGAATGCCCACAAGAGAGAGCAAGTTCACACCAATTATTCTGAAGGGGTAACTCATGTTTCTGTTCGAATTAGCTATTTAACCCGAGGCTGCCTTTTAGCTAGTAAGAGCAGCTTCCATAGAAACGTTGTAAGCCCCTTACCAAAAAAACAAAAACAAAAAACAAAAAATAGTCTACAAAGCTCAAGCAGTTTGGAATTGCAATTTCTTTCTTTCTTTATTAAATAAAATTGTATGCCGTCTAATAACTTAAGTCTCTGGACAGCTTACAGCATAAATAAACTGATGACCCACTCTGGCTGCAAGTAAATAAAATACAATAATAAAATTCAATATTAAAACATATTAAAATATTGGTTAAATAAAAAGGTCTTAACCTGGCACCGAAAAACATACAGTCAGGGTGCCACCACAGAGAAGGCCCTCCTCTGGGTACTCTTGTCTCCTAACATCTTTCACAGAAGGTTCTCGGAGGAGGGCTTCTGTTGCCGATCTCAGGGGGCGGGAGGGCAAATAGGGAAAAAGGCGTTCCTTTAGGTATCCTGGTCCCAAGCCGTTTAGGGCTTTATAGGTAATAATCATCACCTTGAATTGAGCCCGGACTTCGATGGGAAGCCAATGGAGCTGATAGAGGACTGGGGTTATATGAGAATAACGCCCAGTCCCCAACAGCATCCTGGCAGCTCTATTTTGAACCATCTGAAGTATCCGGACTGTCTTCAAGGGCAGCCCCACATAAAGCCCATTTCAGAAATCCAACTGGGAAGTAACCAATGCGTGTGTTACTGTTGCTAGGCAATCCTCCTCCAGGTAGGGACGCAGCTGATAAATTAGCCGAAGCTGAAGGACAGCACTCCTCGCCACCACTGTCACTTGGGCTTCCAAGGACAGCTCCGGCTCGAGGAGCACTCCCAAGCTGTGGACCCTGTCCTTTAGAGGGAGTGCAACCCCGTCCAGGGCAAGGCCCAAGTCACCTACCCAGGAGCTCGAATCTCCTACCAACATAACCTCCGTCTTACCTGGATTGAGCTTCAGTTTATTGGCCCTCATCCAGCCCATTACCTTGCCCAGGCACCGGTTCAGTACAGCCACTGCCTCACCTGGGTTAGGTGAAAATGAGAGGTAGAGCTGGGTGTCATCAGATACTGATGACTTTGCAGCCCAAACCTCCTGATGACCTCTCCCAGTGGTTTCATGTAGATATTAAATAGCAAGGGGGACAGAATGGAACCCTGTGGTACTCCGTGACAAAGTTGCCATGGCGCAGAGCCAAAGTCCCCCAGCACCACCTTCTGGAATCGGCTGTTGAGATAGGAGTGGAACCACTGACAAGCAGTGCCTCCTACTCCCAATCCCACCAGCCTATCCAGGAGGATACCATGGTCAATGGTATTGAAAGCCACTGAGAGGTCCAGGAGAACTAACAGGGACACACCCCGTCTCTCTCCCTGCACAGGACATCGTACAGGGTGACCAAGGCAGATTCAGTACCGTACCCAGGTCTGAAGATGAACTGAAATGGGTCCAGATTTTCAATGTAAAACCCAAATCAAAACCAGTTTAAGAACCACTGCGATAAACCAAGGATCTGAAGGCTGGAATCCAAAGACATAGTAAAAAGCAGAGGGAAGAATGACACACACAGGCAGAATTGCACAATGACTATTAGTGCAGTCTACCCCTCCTTTCCCCACCCCCTGCTTTTTGGGGAAAAGAACTATATAGCCTGGGCTTTTGTGCTTATGAGCATATGCACAAAATCTTTTTATTAATCCTCACAGGTGGTGTGCAGAGGTGAGGCAGTGTGCGTACTCTACCACTATAGGAAGGAGTTCAGTAACATATGCCTCAAAAACAAAAAGCACAACAGTTGTCTCTTCGAATGAGCCCCGTAAGATAAAATACATAATTATATTATATCATATATAATTATTTGATTTCTTTAGAATTTGCAATTAAGAATATGAGAAATGTATTGTGAAGTCAGGTTACTGATTCAATCTTGCATATCAGCCAGAACTGGAAAAATCCTGCCATTAGTCAAGAAACAGCTACTTTTCAATATGTAAGGGTTGGTGAATTTATAACTTTGGGGAGGCTAGCATAGCTAGTTCCCACCAACAGACCTTCCTAAATATATTCATTCCACCTGAATATTGGTTGTCTAACAGCAGGAGCCACACTTGCCATCGTCCCTGCTGTATCCCATTAACTTTATGGAATTAAATGGCTTCTAGATGCAGAAACTAAGACTTCCGTGATTCTTAAGAAAAGTGAGTTAGGCTTCAATCCTATGCATGTTGGAATGAAAGTCCTACATTTTTAGCATTCTCCAGCCAGGACTGCATCCTTAAAGGAAAAATATCATCAGGTGTAGTTTTTCCCGTCATAATGCTGCAATGATGGAAAAAGCTAGACTTGGAAGATTTTTTTCACTTCTGTGTATTTTTGTAAATGCAGAAGCTCTCTCAAAATGATAGATGCAACTATCTAATGCATCCCTACTTTCTGGCTCAGTTTTCCTATTTCCTGGCCTTTGCACCCTCCTTCTGCCAACAGATCACAGGCCATCTTCTTCCTCACCCATGTAGGAAGTTTATCATATGTCTCAACATACCCCCCCCCACCATTCTTCAACCTCTTGTCTCACCTATTCATTATTTCCTTGAGTTCCCACTACTTATCACACTATCTTGTCTGACTTGTTTCATTCTACCTTATTGGCTCCCAGTCAGCAACCAATGACTGATTTTCTCCCTCCCTCCCTTGCTCCCTCTCTTACACTCAGACTCACATACACACTCAATTCCTTAATATCCTACAACAAAAGTAAATGAAAAATGGAGGTCAATTCTCTTCCTTCACACTGACCCTTCAGCTTATTCACATGCTGTTGCAGATGATCTGAAAACATTTGATGCTGTTTATTTTGTTTTCCAGGCATTTAAGTTCTGCAAATATTCTAGGACCTTAAGTAATGGGTGCCAGAAGCTTCCTCATCATAGCTCTTGGCACAAAATCCCTTAGCATATTTCAGTAAAGATGACACTCTGGTTCCATCTTATGCTAATAGATTGAATACTGGAAGCAAACTGTTTCTGACTAATCAGAAAGTCACCATTTGCTTGCTTTCTAAGAAAAATCTTATATGAAGGAGTATTATTTTATTTGCTTGCTTGTTTCAGATTAAAAAAGATTTAATATCAAAATGGAAGAAGGCAATTACTTTCAAGATTTTGTAACTGTGTATTTCAAATTCTCACAAGCTTATTTCAAAATAAGGCAACGGTGTGAGGAGCTCTCTCTCTCTCTCTCTCTCTCTCTCTCTCTCTCTCTCTTAAAGGAATAATTTTTGCACAGCTTTCCAAACAAAAAGAAATTGTGTAGATACAGAGCTATAAAATATGTTGCCAAACAAATAACAGCATAATGATGCACCTCCAAAGTCTGGTGATCAGGATGGTAATTAGTAAGAAGCCAAGGAAAACATTATCTTCCACAAATTGTTATACACATTTATTTTGTGCCAAATGTTCACGGCAAGCAGGGATTTCATGTTGAGACAGAGCCAGGAGCTGTATGGAAGGCCATCATTTCCTGAGCACACCCAACCCTGTTGGTGATTGGTTTTTCCAGCTGCAAGGAAAGAGATGTAGGTGGAGAGGAAAGGAAAGGATTACCAGCCTTTCCACCTACCCAGATCAACAATAGATTCAATGATAGTTTGATGCTTTCACCTGCAGCTGAAAGAATGTAGAATTACTGTTCTCAGTTCACTCCCACAACCAGAGCATTTCTGAAAATAAGCCACAGTCAGAAGCCATAATAAAGATGCATGCCAGTCAGCTTCATGCCTTGGAGAAGGCAAAGTATTAAATGTTAACTCCATAGTTATATGCATACTACAGACACAGAGTGGGAATTGAAACACATATTCGTTATCTATTAGTGCCTTTTGGATGCTGGACTTCCACAGTACAAAACAAACTGTAATAATCCCTATAGTAGACAAACGTAGCTCAGCATCGATCCACTTAGGCCCACTCACCTCAGCATTGTCTACACCAGCTGGCACCCTCCGTGTGTTCTGGACTTCGACTCTCATCAGCCCCAGCCAGCCTAGCCAACAGTCAAAAATACTGAGCTGCAGCTCAAAACATCTGGAGGGCACCAGGCGACAAAAGACCAGTGTATGCTAAAGCACAGCAGCTCTCTGGAGTTTCAGACAGGAGTCTGGAGACGCTGAGGATTGAATTTGGGACCTTCTACATGCAAAGCATCTGCTCTACCACTGCACTATGACCATTGGACATAATTATTCTTCTGAGGGCTTCACGTGTATCTTCTTACACAACAAGTTCTTCATACAGTTAAGCACAGGGACACAGAAGCCTTCTGCACACTTATGATCCCTAGCTGGCTCTTTACAAACTGGATCTCGACTGTATTTGGAGTATTTTTAAAAAATGCATGTTAAAGTGTGATTCAGATACTACAGTAATTAAAATAATATGGACAACCCTCCCCCAAACATCAGTGTCACTCTATAATGTTTTCTATCATATAAACTTCAAGCTTCTATCATGTACACTTCAAACTTCACACACTATAAACATTAACTTTAAATAAGCAAGGAATATAACTTCAAATCCTTTAAGTGTAATTAATATTTTATTATTTGATAAGGCACTACTGCAGCTTTTCCATGTTAACATTGACCTTCACAACGCTTTGTTGTTCAAGGAATGAAAATCCCAGTATGATGCTTAATACCAGAATTTCACTTGAAGATGCATCTCATTAATTTCTGCTTTCACTGCACAAAAAGTCAACTCTTACCGGATCTAAGTTCTTAAATAGGAGAATATCTTTGCAAGCTTCTTGTAGTCTGTTTCTTTGATCATCTGTTTTGGGGTGAATAACCTGCAAGAAATCATTACAATTTGTATTTTTTTTTCTTTTTTAGGGCAGTCTTAAGAAAAGCAGTAACAGAAAAGGCCATACACAAAGGATGATCTAAGTCAGGCATGGGGAACATTTGGCCTTCCAGATGTTGTTCGACTGCAGTGATGAAGCATGTTGGGAATTGCAGTCGAACAGCTTACGCAGGGCCCCACCCTTCCCCGATTGCAATCAACGCTCTAAAGCAAGCTATAATATATTGTCAGGGAAATACCTGAAAATTTTAGATTTTTAAATCTCACAGATGAAAGGCAAACTCCAAGAAGGACTTAAAATGTCCTCCATTGCTATTAAAGGGAATTACAAAAAAGGCTATTTTTGAAAGAAAAATGTTTTCATTTAGAATTTACAAAATGTTACAATGTATGTTATACAACATTAAAAGGAATATCCTTATAATTTATTTATTTATTTATTTATTTGGACAACTTGTATGCCACCCCATTCGCATAAGCCTAATTCATGTGTTCTTCCTTTTAGTTTCTTTCCAAGAATAAAAATATTTATTTCCTCTACTGACATACCCTTGATTCGGTGTCATCCTCTTCTTCATCTGGATTATAAGCTTCTGCACACACTAAAAACAATAAAAACATAAGCTGCTTCCCAAACGGCAATGTATGTTCAACATTTACTGTTCAGATTAATATTAATTAATAATATTAGTATGGGAATTATTTAGAACTGATATCAATGATTGGATTTTATCATGCTGTTGTTCACTGCCTTGCATATCCTAATTAAAAAACAGGGTTTCATATTTGAAATTAGTAAATCAAATAACTAAAGAAACAGAATACTTTTTGTACAGTTCCCTTTAAATCTTCCTTTCACTAGGCCAAACATACTCTGGCTCCTTGTATGCTTTTCTATATTTCTATATTTTTTCTTACTTATTGTTTATTGAAAGGTTTTATTATATTTTTAATAATATAGGGCCACCCTGCCTCCTACCAAATTATAGACTTGATGGTAGAAGATATAAACCTTAATTTCCCATTTCTCTCCAGCCACTAGTCCTGCCAGGTCATGGAAATTTATTCAGTTCTATGTAAACAATGTACAGTGTTCACTCTGACCTAACTCATACAAAAACTATGCCCTCACAGGAATTTTGGGGGTGCACCAAGGCCACTACCCAACATGCGCAAGGGTTGTTTGTCAGCAGCTGATTCCACTGTCATGCATGCTGAGGCAGAAACAAAGGGCTCTTTAACCAATGCTACTATGTAAATAACAACTCTGACAATCTTTCATTGAGAAACCTCTCTTCCGGTTCACTGTAGTTTAGCTCATTCATGATTAGGGCATGAGCTGCCTAAGGAGAGGGCTCTACTAAAGTGTCTTGTTTGTGTTGCTGTTTGCTCTGCTGTGATGATCTAAATGAATGGAGCAGCCTAAAGGATGGGTACCCAGAACTGCAAAAATTGCAGTGATAGTGAAAAGAGGTCCACACAGAGTTACCTACAGTTATTACAAATGGTGCATCTGTACTGGGATACAACCAGCACACTCTTTGGTTTACATAAACCAGGTATCTGTCAGACCATTAGAAATCCTGTCAATTACCAAAACCCTTTCTTTCTTAATTGTGGTTACAGAAACATTGTTCTGAAATGCTCCCTGTGCAGGAATTTCTCTAGGCTTAAGAAGAATGTGAATGCAGTGATACAAACCCTACCTGATACCATGTTATATCAATGGGGCTTTTTGCCTGATACAAGCCCAGCAAAGGTGGGACTGCAATGACTGTGGGCATGGGCAATCACCATTTTCAATATGCAGCTCTGCGTGGGGGTTGTTGTGTCATGGTAACTCAGAGCACATGGGTTATGGAAAGGCTGAACAAAAAGGGTTAATAATCCCTGCATATCCCATGCTCACTGGGTTCACACAAAACAACAATCCAAAAGTGGAGGCAGGTTATATTATTTGGTGCCCATGGGCACCATGGCTCATCATTGGTTAAATCTATACTGGGACCCCAGCATCCCCATTTTCTGACCAGATTCTTTAACTCTAATTTTGGGAAGTGGAGGAGTGAAGAGGAAATGTATACTCTTAAGATGTACTCTCTTCCCAGTTATTACTGTGCAGGTGCCCCCACCAAATGAACCAAGGTCAGTGGCTACTACTGAGAGGGCCTTCTGAATTGTGGCAGCTCAGTCATGTTACACCCTCCCCAGAGAGGCTCTCCCGGCACCTACACTGTAGTCTTTTTGGCACCAGGTTCAGACCTTTCTATTGTATCTTTAGCTATACTGTCCTGAATCCTGTACTGTACATTTGTGAAATTCCTCCCTCCCTGCAAAAGAGGCGTAACTGTTTCCATGTTCAACAAATGAAGCTGTGAAGGATTCTTCCACCTATTTTTTACTTTTAAATTGCCCCACCTCTTGCTTTCTTTTGCAATACAGTGGGCCTCTTCACAACTGGCTTTCAGCTCAGCAGAAACTGAGCTGGGATAACTAATGCTGTGTGGTCAGTCTAGGAAGTAGTGTAGAGATGAAAGCAGGTATTATGAAGAGCTCTTAAACACACTAGAAATTTTTGTTTACAGCATTCTCTCCCTGCCCAGGCAGTGGGGGAAATCAGTCAAAAATTTTACTGCAGCATTAATTTTTAGACCTTTCTATGGCTGCTTGCTTATATTTTGGTTTAACATAGTAGTTTTACACTTTTAAAGTTGCATAATCATATTGTTGTATTTCATAGTTTTAACTTTTGTGCACTGCCTGGACTGCATTGGCTATTGGAGCTGTACAGAAATGTAAAATCAGGCTTCTGTCCAGACACTAAAAGAAATTTCAATGCAGAGCTTAATGTTTCCAAGGTTCAGCCTGTATAATAACTGTCCCATGAGCCTTCAATGGATTGTCTTGTCTCCTGCTGCTGCATGAGAGACCCTTTCTACTATTAGGGTTCATCCATGGAGCACATCCAAAAATGTCCCAATATCCATCTCTAAAATGATGAGACATACAGCACCCATACTGTGCTCAAACCTCAAAATATTTTTGATTTTTTAAATGGACTCCGAGTATCAGAAACAGGGTGCAGTTAACATGTCATGAGCAGATCACACAAAGGGTTGTGAACTGCAATATTAAATCACTCAGAAAGCTTTTAGCATTAAAATAATCTGCAACCCCCTGCACTACCTTCCACCTGAGTGCTAAAAGCTTCAGGAAGGACTAGGACCTTTTGTACAAATCACACTTAAATAAAATTTTGCTTTTGTTTTTCCTCGACTCCGTAACTCAGCTGAAAAACCTACATTGCTGAAATGTCCTTCAAGCTGTGTATCAGATGAGGGCAGGAGGTTGACCACTGAAGAGACCTCTGCCCAATTCTTCCAGAACAGCTGGCACCCGCTAGCTGCCAAGTCTTGCCAAATTAAGGCCGGCATGTGCCACACCAGAAGGCTCTTTGATCATGCATTGTTATCTGCTTTGTTTTGGTCAGGAAAACAGATGCACTGCAGTCTGAATGAGAACCACAAGCAAGTAGCTCTTGTCCCTACCACCCTTTCTGTTTTTGAGTGTGAAGCAGCTGAGGCTGCTAGAATGAACAAAACAGAATGCCTAGCCCTAGGACAGGTTCAAAACAGGATTAGATCCATTTCAGGTGATAAAAACCTTATGAACAACTATTAGCCAAAATGTCACCAAATGGAACCTCCATGATAGGGGCCATGATCTAACTAACCAGGCATGGGGATGCATAACAGAGCAGAGATTACTGCCAACATCTGGGCTTTCGACAGCAGCATCTGCACAATCATTTTATTATAATCTATTGTGTTTATAACCTGCAGGTGTTTCCTATCAGTTTATTTCTTAGATTTCTATTCATGCTTGTTACATGCTGTAAAATCATCTCTGACTTTTAGCAACCATGTGCATGAGTGCCCTCCAAAATGGCCTGTACTTCACAGCCCTACTCAGTGCATGTAAACTCAAAGATGTGGCTTCATTTATGGTATTGATCCAACTCATATTTGGTTGTCTTCTTCCTCCTCCTCCTCCTCTTCTTCTACCTTGGACTTTCCCTAGGTTCCTTGTCTTCTCCACTGAACCTCACCTTCTCATGATGTGTCCAAACTACAGTTTATAAGAAGCATATAAGAGACAGGTATCTCCAATCAATCAATGAACCTTCAGTCATCCTTTAAAATTGTTCTGGTTTGCTCTTATCATTTATTTGCTTGTCAAATAATCATTGTTCTGAAAACTGAACCAAGCCATGTTGTTCTATGAGCTGTGTTCGAGTATTTTGCTAGAGTTCTCTTTCTTTGCTTACAACTCTCATCTGGTAGTTGACTGCACATATTCCATAACAAAAAGTTCAGCCAATAATTTTCCACAGAAAAAAGATATTTCCTTGTCTATCTGGATAGCAGTACATTAAGGCAATCTGTTTGTTTAAGCAAGTTCCTTACTCCAGAAATATTACATTTCTATTTATTTAAATCCATGAGTATATGCAGGAGTACCTATTTTACATGTTATTTTTTATTCTTGAATGGATAGATTGAATAACAGAGGATACAAGCATTCTCAACACTACATGGACTAGTTTCTAATTTACAACTTGATGGGTGCATTCACAAGACATGGAAGCCCAGCCTGTGAAATAAGCTACATAGTGTGGGTTGCTCCATGAGCAACCTACAGTGTATCTGACAAATTATCAGGCTCAACATGAGTTTTCCCCAACTTCCTTCAGCACTTATCCAAGGGACTTGCATGGCAGGACTTATCCCCTCTCTCTATTGTGATTGCGACCCCTTTTCCAGTTGTTGCAATCTCTTCCACTTTTTGAGAAATCTCTTTTCATATTCTCCAGAGTAACAACCCTTCCAAAGTGCCTAAGCAGTGAACTTAAGTGGCCATCACTTGGTTTTGTTCTGCATAAAGAATGTGCATAAATGTTTTCATTATTTTACTTTGGTCAGTATTTTGACATTCCAGAAGTGCACCACTTGGGCTACCCAAAATGTGAAGCCTTGCCTTGTCAGTGCCATAGTACATTTCAGCTGTTGAAGCAGGCAATACCCACAGACATTGACAAAGCCAGGCTTCAAATATGTTACCTCATTTTCACTGAGCAAAGGTCAAGCACAAAACAAAGCTGCAAGAAGACACTGCTTGAGAAAGAGGGTAGCACACAGTTCATCCCATTTGTAGAAAGATGCTCTAAGTTTTAAGTTTTGATCTGACATTGTTCAATGTCCGCTATCTTTTTGGACTCTCCAGAGTCTCTGCATGCTCAGGAAAGTAGAAAATGATGATGATGGATGATGATGATACAACAAAAAATACACTATGTTTATATCCTGCCTTTTTGCCTCTTGTGAGGAACCCAAGGCAACTTACATAGCTCCATTTTATCCTCACAACAAACATGTGAGGTAGGTTGACCTGAAAGTAACTGACCAGACCAAAGTCCCCCATTAAGATTCATGGGCAAACAGGGACTAGGCCCAGATTTCCCAGGTTCCCAGTCCAATACTCTAACCACCACACCGCACTCACTTTCAGTGCAGGTCGCCCCATTTATGGCAGCGTGGAGCAC